CTGCAAGAAAACCACCAAGTTCAGAGAGCACCAAGGACCCCACAGTCCTCCTCCTCCTCCTCCTCCTCCCCACTCCCCTTCCACAAACCACCCTCCCTTCTAGCACTGATGGCGTTACCTAGTTGGGTCATGAAACGTGGCTGGGTGTGTGTGTCATGTGGCCGGGTGGGAGTGACGTTGAGTTGGCCATGCCCACCCAGGTTTGGTGGTTCCCGGTGTTTTCTTGTCCGTGGGAAAACGGGTCCAAATTGGCTCTTTGAGTGTTTAAGGTTGCCAAGCCCTGGCCTAGATAGAAGGTGTGTGAGACAGAGGGCGAAGACAGCTCCTTCTCAAGAGCTCCCAGATTACACATTGAAGATGCAGCGAGTAGAGTCCTCAGCCTAGCAAGGTTGTGTCTATTGTTGTGAAACAATAAAAACAGGGGTGGCAGGCTGGGGGTTCGGGAGAGGCCCCAGCTAAGATTCTGTGCAGTTTGGAGAACCCCCAAATCCCACTCCTGGTTGGCCCGCCCACCCCCTCCCCTCCCCTCCCCGGAGTCCCCACATGGCCCGTTTTGGATGCAGGGAAGCGCAGGGGTTGCGTGGAGGCTCAGGGAGGGCAAAAAGGAGGCCTCACAGAAGTTCAGGAAGGCCGGAAATGGGCCCGTTTCCGGCTTCCAGAGAGCCTCCGGAGCCCGGGGAAGGCAACAACGTGGTGCAGGAGGCCAACTAGGCCACGCCCACCATGGCCACGCCGACCCAGCCGCCAGGCAGAGAATCTCTTTGCTAAAAAAAATTTCGAAGCCCGCCCCAACTTTTTCTGACATGAAAACGTCAAGTAGGATTTGACAGGAGCAACCGATTCGGGGCTTCGTGAAGTCGAGACCGAGATGCGTCCTTTGACCCCGGGGACAGGAGGTCAAACAAAGTCAAGATGGAGGCTGTAACCAGGCAACGCAACGCCCCTAAAAAAACCAAAAACACTTCCAATGCCCAGTTTTGGGCAGTCATCTCGATTTGCTTTGAGCCTTCAGTGCTTCGTTTCTGTTTCACACCCAGGAGAGTGTTAGTGGGTGGTGGGGGGAAAAACCCACTGCAGCCAGCAAGATTTGGGATCGTGCGCACCAATGCTGCAGGATTTCTTCCGTGCAGGATTTCTTCTGCTTCTCGCCTCTCCCCTCGATTCTGCAGCCTCTTCCACTTTGAACGGAGGCGGCGTCTGGAGCGGTGACTGGTCTCCAAAGGATGAGCCCCCGACTGAAAGTCACCTTCAGAGTGGCCACTGGCGCCCACGAGGCGTGGTCTCTGCATTGCTCGCCACCTCTCCGTCCCACCTTCTGCTGAGTCAGCAAAACTGGGAGGTTAAAAATATCCCGGGATAGACAAGATCCAGGAACTGCAGTTGTGTGTGTGTGTGTGTGTGTGTGTGCGAAACAAGAGTTACAACTCTGGCACCGAAACCTCCTCTAATATTATCCTAGCCAGCGTGGCTGAAGCCCAACGCTGCCAAAACATGTCAGTTTGGCGAGAGAGGGAAAATATCTGGGTGGTTTTTGCCTTAAACTGATGTCGAAACTCAACAGAAGAACGGAGTTTAGTTTAATTTGTTGTCATTGCACCTCGTACAAGGAAATAAAATACCATTTTCAGTGTACATTATAACAATAAAAATAAAACACAAACACACCCATCTTCCACATTCTATACATTGAATTGAAAACCCTTGTTATTGCATTCATATTGCACTATACAGTAGAATTCAATGGTAGATACAGTAGAATTTCCTGCTCAAGCAGAAAAACGTATGCCCTTCAAGAGAAATAACTGTCCAATCTTTTCTCAAAAGCTTCCAGCGATGGGGCAGCCACAACTTCTGGTGGCAAGCCGTTCCACTGGTTATGTCAGGGAATGTATTCTGTTTATATCTAGGTTTCTTCTCTCCTTGATTTGCTCACTTCTCGTGCAAACCTCAGCTTTATATAATATATAATATTATTATAATTATTATGATAGTACTACATTACAATGCAATGTATAATATAATAATTACATTGCATTGCATCGTGTTACCATAATACTTTAATGGATACATTGGCCAGATTCAGACCATATGCAAAAAAATATGTTTCCTTTCTTACATTGTTGTGAGTGAACCCATCCAATTCTTTATTCAGCCGATGCTGCCTAGACAAACCACGGCTTAGCATGTTGTATGTACTTAGATGCTAGCTTGCTACGCCCTGCTATCCCAAGTAACCTTTGTTACGGGAGATAGCGATGGCTTTCACAGCCCTCTCTAAGCAGTTTAGAGAGTCGGCCTCTTGCCCCCAACAAGGTGGGTCCTCGTTTTACCGACCTTGGAAGGACAGAAAGCTGAGTCAACCTTGAGCCGGTCAGGATCGAACTCTTGACAGTTGGCAGAGTTAGCCTGCAATATTGCATTCTAACGATTGTGCCACCATGGGGAATAAAGCTAGGGGGGGGATCAATTTTACTGATTTTCTATTAGCACCAGAGGTAAAAAAGAGATTCCAATTGCATTGTTTTGGTATCCGGTGTTGAACAATTATATATTATATATTATGTATTATGTATTATATATTATATATTATATATTATATATTATATATTACATATTACATATTACATATTATATATTATATATTATATATATATAATTTATATAATATAAAATTCTGGAATACTGCTATCATCTCACCCCTAATTCTTCTTTTCTTTAGACTAGCCGAACCCAAATCCTGCAGCTGTTCTTCCTATGTTTTAGTCTCCAGGTCTTTGGTCATCTTAGTTGCTTTTCTCTGAACTTTTTCCAAATGCAAGTTATGATCTTTTTTTCACACTTACGACTGTGAATGGTTGTAAATCATTACTACCTGTAATTCTTATTTCATTATTAAATCATTTGTTTAATATCTGAAAATTAGTCATTCACAGCATGAACACAACCAATTCTGCATCCCGCTGTGGAAAACTTATTGAAATGACTGGGTCCGGTTTGGAAATTTATTGCTAACCAGTTTTCCCCCAGCAAGCCTGCATTAGATTCTGAGGTCTGCTGAGTTAGAATAAAACTGCAGTAACTTTCCAATCTATGCCAGTTACTTGCAGTTTTCTGTCTCAGCTAGCAAGCAAGCTCAAAAATTGTTCTGCACTGCTTTTAGCCTCAAATGCACACAATAAATTCCAAATTCTGCATGGGGGCAGCCAGCTGAGAGAAAGACAGCCTAAAACTTAAGCCAAGGAAATAGAATACTGAGATGTTGAGAATTTGGGGGCTCAAAAGTTGAGGGCTGGCTAGACTGAGTTGGCATTTCCTGGGAGGTAGCTTTCTCTATTCTGCAGTGATTCCTTGGCTAAGCCAAAAGGGGATGAAGACATCAAATGCTGCAAAATTGGAATTGATTTATCGAAGGGTTGCAATTTATTCCCCCGACAAAGTGAGGTGGGAGAACTTGCTCTGAAGGACATCCAAATCATGGCTTTGCCAAGGAGAACCTGGCCATTTTCAGATATTCCTTCCAAGCAGCATCGCCCATATCCTGAAAGCAAGGCAAAACTGCAATCTGATTTGGCTAGATTTAAATGAAGTTCAAATTACACTTGGGGGGGGGGGGGGGAAACTGGTTAGCACAATTGGGGATTTAAAGGAGCCGATCAGTCCTGTATAATGCTTCCTCCTGGCCAGTATTCCGTAAAAAGCATGAAAAAGTTAAAACATAGCGAGGTTCGATAAAAATGGACACTGTAAAATAAAATGGGTAAAAATAAAATAATGAAACGGAATAAAAGCAAAACAAGCCATGATCCGAGTCATTGATAATTTTGCAGACGATAAAAGAAAACCTGGCTTCAAAAGAAGTATCCTGGTCAGTTAACAATTGTACATTTAAAAAAATAAATCTGTGCCACCTAGAAATTTAGTTAGTATAGGTGTCAATCTAGTAGGCGATCTGGCTGGAAACCAGGAAAAGGTGAGTTCTCGTCCAACCTTAGGTACAAAAACTGGGTGACTTTGGGCCAGTGACCAGGAGTCAGTGAGTTCTAGTCCCGCCTTAGGCACGAAAGCCAACTGG